GGGTTCCCTATTTCCCCTGCGTTTTTAAACATGTGCTCCCCCCCCATTCTCCCCCCCCCCCCCCCCCCCCCCCCCCCCCTTTTTTTTTACACGTTGGATGTTCGGATTGCTAATTTGGTTGCAGGTTCCGTATTGCCACTTTACGGCCCTTTGGCGATCGCTCGGTCTCCTACGATTGGGATATCTGGGAGACGCCCAAGGTCACGGTCTTGCCGATCAAGACGAACGGCACGGCGTGAGTGTAGTTAATGTTTGAGTACCTAGTTCTTGTATATTTTGGGATATCTAAGATTCCTTGTAAAAGTTCAATAATCGAAAGTTAAAACTAATGGTAAAGTCCCTATTTCGTGAGTTTACGTGTCCGATCTTGGTACCTTTTGTTGTTGTAAGGTATTCGCGCATACATGCGAATACATGCGAAAAAATAAATAAAAAAAACGATATCCTCCCGATCGGGGAATTGAACCCCGGCCACCTGCGAGCTCGAATCCCGAATAATTAGGGGAAATGACAAGCAGGTATCCTAACCACTAGACGAATCGAGACTTCCGTGCTTTCATCTTTGTTCTCGGTGGTGAGAACTGTTCTTCGCGTGCGGTGGAGCAGCGATGGGGATTTATTAGGGTTGGCAGTGTTCATATGCAATTTCTATTCGGCCCATTTGTTTGGTGATGTGGGTCGCGGGTTTCACTGACGACATTGGTAAGGAGCGAGTGGTTCAAGAGCCATGTTGAGCTTTTCTCTATTCATCATTATTCCGTACATTTTTTTTCCTTTATTTGGTGTTACATTTTGAGCCTTCCATTCCAGTTCCATAATGTCGGCTCCTAAAATGTGGTCTGCAGCTTGGGGTAATCCTTCGCACGCGCTTGCAGGTCTGCGAAGATGGACGCCGAGTCGTCCCCTTGCAAGTCTTCCATCCTGTGAGTATCCTCGTCTTCCAACTTCTCTAACTCATCTATGGGGAGCTGCTCGTTCTTTTCTTGTCCCGCCTGCGGATCCGTGGCCTTTTTGATGCCGCTCGATTCGCCGATTAGGAGAAATTGTGTGTTTGCGAAGTCGAGGTGCTTGGGTTGCGTCGCGGTCCATCGCAGTGCCTTGAATTCGTCTTGGACTCTAAATAGCGAGCTGTTAGCATTCTTGCGGTAATGCGCGGAGAGATAACCCACTCCTTAGTATAGTCTGGGCCTTGCGGAAGGGAAGTGCCCTTCGGAGCTTCGTACTGCGGGTTTCTGGTGCTGATGATGAAGCTCCCTTTCTCCCTGAGCCCGATCTCCTTCTGTACTTCCCCAAGATCCTCCGGTAATGTGATCATGTACGCGAGGTGGCTCTCGCGCCCGGTGCTGGTGATGGCGTAGATGCCTTCCGCTACCGGGGCGGCGGCGGGCGTGTGTCGCACGCCGACGGTCTTGGTGGCGTAGTCGGATCCCGAGACGAAGTCTTCTTTCAGCGTCTTGAATGACGCGTGAGACTTCTCCACGAACGCGATCCACCTGTCCCTGCCGCTCAGGGGTAAGACCTTCTTAGGAATGGCGATGAGGCGACTGTTCCCGGCGTCGTCGATTGTTCCTTCTCCGAGCTTCGCGTCCTTGTCTAGCGGGCGCAGGACCATGTAGCTGCGGCGGATGTCGTCTACGCTGCTCGGTTCGTCGATGCCTACTCGGCCGCGGATGAAGAAGTAGACGATGCCCTTCTCTAGAATGCTGGATGGAACAGTACCTTGTCTCGCCCCTTTTTCCTCGGCCGAGCCATGTTGGTTCGTGGTTCCCTGGGGATGCACTCCATTATTCTCATCCTTGACATCTTGTCCCTTTTCACCCTTACCCTTGCTCGCCGGTGGTTGATTCTTGCCGTCGCCGTACGCTTCGGTCGGGCTGGGCATGAATGAGTGATGGCTGTTAGATGATGTTATGCCATGTTCATACATACCTTGGGATAGTATCCTCAATGGTTTGTTGTTTCTTGCCGTCGTCTTTCTTGGGACGCTTGGACGATGGTGACGTTTTCGTATCGAGCTGGTGCTTCAAAGTGGCGTCTTTACTATTCTCGTCCTTGTTCTTGGAGACATGTTCGGCTTTAGCGCCGGATCTAGTGATAGTCATGATTGCGGAAGTATTGAAATCTTACGAAGAGAGATCCAGTATGATATTTTATGATGAGGAGTATTGATGAGATGATCGATGATAGTCACAGTGGCGAACGATGTGTTGGTGTCAGGAGTTATCGGGTGGCACTTATGAGATGATTGAGAAAATGAAGATGTAAAGGAAAGTTCAAACGTTCAGATTGAAATACTGAGATAAGATCAAGATGTGAGTCGCAACTTACCGAATAATTTGGATCAGCTTGATGTCATTGATCTGTTTGAGGCTGGGACTTGCCCTAGCTGTCCCAGGAACACACGATACCTATGCTTGGATCACTTATGACATAGCTGATTTCCTTTTACGGTAAGCGAGGTGAGCATGATGTAAGTATTTTCAGCTTTATTAGGTTTGCATTACAGATCCGTATTACCTAACTAGGTTCCTAATTGACGCCATCTATCGAACCGATCTTGCTGACCCGGCGGTTGTAACTTTGCCGGCGATGAATTCATTGACGTAGCGTTGATATATCCGTGCATGGCCAAACTACGTAAGGGCGATTTTGCATGTCACCGAGCGCATGAATCTCATTGAAAACCACAAGAAATGCCATTGATGAAAGATACATGTAAAGGCCTTGGATGTGCGCGGATCAACTTTAATAACGCGGAATAATGCAAACACAACTATTCAAGTACTAAAGATGTCGTTGACGAGATATCTAACGGAGATGGTACTTGTTTGAGGAGTAATAGCTTCCACTTCTCAGTAGGTATTAATGAGATCTTTCGCAGATGATCCATTGATAGAAATAGTTACAAGCCAATACCTGGATATTTAAAATGGGGCTATATAATTATGGGCCTCGCGTCGCGTTTGTTGCTTATGTGCGTACCCGAATAAGTACTACGATACGTAAATACTTTATGATTCAATCGCAAACTTCGGCGCATCAACTTCAATACTCTCAACTCGGCTCGTCAAGATGTCTAGAAAACAAGCCAAAGGCGAATATATTGAAACAGTAAGTTACTAAACGCATCCAGGAACAACTTACCAATGCCCTTTCTAACCTTTACGTAGGACACAGGAAACAAAGTGTCTCGGAAAGCCATCTTGATCGGAACGCAGCACATCATGCTGGGCGGCAAGACAGTCATCCAAGCCGAAGCCATGATACGAGGCGACCTTGCCAGAACCGCCCAGCCTACCTCCAGTTCCGGCGCCGCCGCTCCCGGCAGTAACACCGCCGTAGCCATCGGCCGATATTGTTATCTGAGCAAAGGATGCTGTCTACGTCCACCGGGGCGCATCTACAAAGGGTTGGTTCTACACATTCTCGTCGCATGGTCAACTTAACAACCGCGCGACTTCTTAGCTAACATCCTCCATATAACAGCTCATTCACCTACCTCCCTCTCCGACTGGGCGACCACGTCTTCATCGGCGACAGCACCGTCGTCCAAGCCGCCACCGTCGGGACCCACGTGCACATCGGCCAGAACGTCGTCGTCGGTGAGTTCGCCATCATCAAGGACTACGTCCGCATCCTCGACGGCACCGTCATACCCCCCAACATGGTCATACCCAGCTTCAGCGTCGTCGCCGGCCAGCCCGCCCGCGTCGTCGGCGAGGTCCCCGAGGGTGGCCACGAGGCTTTCGAGCTCAGGGAGCTGTACAAGACGGTTGGGAATAACCCGCAGCCGCTGCCTGTGTGATCCGTGGTGGCGGTTGAGCTGTAGCGGACTTTTATTGATGACCCGGGGGTGGACTCCGCATTCTCGAACTATGATACTACGAGCGACACGATTGCCATGTCTTGACGAGGAATACATATTCCGGTATGTTAAGCGCAATATACGGTGTAGCTCGAACATTAAATCTAACGATGACGACGTATGGTTGACGACGTATTGAGCATTGAATGCTTCCGCGCCCGATTCACGGAGGAATGGTGGAATGGATGGTTATGAACGATAACCTGGGCACATTACGGAATTATTCAATTGAGGATGTTGGCTGGAGTTGAGTTTTTATAAAACGTACCTAATGGGCGCTTAGCAAGATAAGTGGAAGTTCAAAATGGCCCAAAAACGAGTCGAGAAGATAGGTTGGTAAAGACGTTATGATTTACGATGTGTGTACGGTCAATCGAGGGATTCATGTTGAAGCATGAGGTGGGGCATTTCAACAGGACATTCAAGGTTATGACAATCTTATAACGACTATTACCGCGCAGCTGCTGCGCTAATAAAATTATTGTATGTTGAATTTGTTTATGAAATAGCTACGAGGAGAGTTACTACATATCAGCCATCCCTCCCTCACAACGCTCGCGAAACCTCACGTAAAACTCGGGTTTCTCCCACATCATATACACGCGGAAACCCCCCGCGAACACGACCCCGCGCTGCCCCGGCGCCGCCTCCGCGTCGAGCGCCCACAGCACCTTGGCGACGAACAGCCGCGTCCGTCGCCACGGCGCGCTAATCCCCGGGCCCTGGCTGAACGGCCGGAACTCGTCGCGCCGGTTCCTCGCGCCGGCCACTCCGCCCGGAAGCGTGCCCGTCGTGGAAGAGCCGCGGGTTGCGGGTTAGTGGGAACTGCCCGTGTTACACGGTTACTTAAGGGTTGGTGGTTACTGGTTAGCTTGCGTTGGTTGGGAAAGTTGGGGGGAGGGAGGTTAAGGTGCTTACCCCTTTGGGGATGTAGTGCTCGGCCGCGGGGCTCGTGCGCGGCGTGGAGGTATGGCAGGTGCGCGCGCGCCTCGGAGGTGATTTCATCGTAGCTTTTGAACGCATCCCTGATCTCTTGCACCACGCCTCTGTAGCTCGGGTTGGTAGAGCAGGAACATCAGCGTGAACTGGAACTGCCTGGAGATGGGTTCGTAGCCGCCGTTGAGCAGCTGCAGGGCCATCACCTTCATGGACACGAGGTCTTTCTCGCTTGGATCGGGGGCGTTCGCCGGGCATAGCTGCTCGAAGTACCTAGTAACCAAAAACACTAACTAGTGCTAATAATAGCGTAAAAACAACAAAACACCAAAAAGGCGGGTAGGCGATGTTTTTCACATTGACACCTATCCATGTTGGAACCTTCTACTCCGTCACGTCCCACCGTGACAATGAATCCCCAACACACGGCAGAATCAGCACCCGATACCCCCAGTATCGCCAACCTGCACCAGCGAAAAAGGGTCAAGCTATTAAGCGTTGCACCCCTCCCCAAAAATAGCCCTAAGGGCCGGAAAGGAACTCGCTGCACCGGACACTGAGTCCTGGCTACAGGACTTAATTAATAAACAATACGCCAAAGTAGAACGAGAGGCCCGAATTCAAAAAGAAGTTATCACTAAACTTGCGGCAACCCTGGACGAATTCGTACGCCCCTTCAAAGGGGACAACCTAGCCGGGCATTCTGGACCTCCGGCAAGTCTCAGGGCTCCCGACAGCGAGAAG